TTTTTTTTCTTTAAAATAACTGATGTCAAAAAGGAAAGAAATAAAATGCAATATAACCTACAAAAAAAAGAGAAGAAATGGTAGGTTATTTTAAATAAAGGTGAAAGCTACATTGCAAGCATAAATTTCTAACCCATTTTTCCCTTCCTTAAAATAGTAGAGTTTGAATGTTGTAAGTGTGTGTGCCTGAAGATAGGTGCACACAAAATAGCTAAGATAACTTTTCTACTAATTTCTATTAGTGCATTGAATGGAATGAGTAGAGATCATATTATCTGATCAATTTGCATCCCTGGTAATCTGAGCAATTACTTTGAATATAGCAATATGAAATATAGTAATGATTGTTAGTTTCATGTATTCTTGTTTGAAATTCTGTATCACTCTTCTTGTTTTTATCTCTTTGAAATTAGAAAAAAAAATAGAGCTAGGGAGATATCTCAGTAGAATAAGCACTTGCTTGGCAAGCACAAGGTCATGAGTTCAATCCCTAGTACCACAAAAAAAATAAATAAAATAAAAATAAAAATAAAAATAAAAATATTACATTTAGACATTTAAACCATATAGTTCACAGTAATAAAATTAATTTACTGAAAGCAGATAATTTTAGCCTTGTATTTAAGGAACATCTTGGCTACATGTGAGGAGCTGGGGAGGTGAGTCAAGTAAAGAACTTCCCTCGGTCCCTTTGCCTCCCTTCATATACTGGGCAACATGGTTGTCACAGGCACACACATGTCCACAGTCATGTGGCTGGAGTGCTGCCAGCAAGGCTTTGGGTCCAGTTCATAGAACATTTCTCTTATGGTGACAAACTGAAAAATAACCTACTTTACAGCTGCACTTGTCTATGAAATTACCTTAGAACATAAAACTGTATCAAGTCACTTCCACACTCAGAACAGAGCTTAGTAAGAAACGTGTGGGTGGAAAGGAATATATGACCTATGCACAGTATCTCTTCTTTTGTGTTCTTTCTACAGAGACTGAAGGAATTAAAACAACGAGAGTTTGCTCGAAATGTAGCATCCAAGTCCTGGAAAGATGAGAAGAAACAAGAAAAAGCACTTAAACGACTCCATCAGCTCGCTGAACTACGGCAGCAGTCTGAGTGGTAAGAATTAGCGGTTCAGTTAAGTGGAGCAGATGTCTGTTCAGCTTCCCAGGAAACTGCCATGATAATAAATTTCAGTGCAATGTAGCAATGTAAAATTGTAATTAATCTTTATCCATGTTTTTAGTAACTATTTCTAATAGTTAAATATTTATAAATTAATTGATTTTGACACTGTTTTTGTTTTCCTGATATTTTTATTCCAATGTACTCTTTAATGAAATGATCCAAGAGTGATTGTAATATACTAGTATTTATTTTATCCAGTTAACCCAAATGGACTGACATAGTTCCTCAGTAATTTAAATTTTGCAATAATAATTTATTTATTTATTTATTTATTTATTTATTTAATGAACAGAAGATATTTATTGAGACAAAGAAAGCTCCTGTCCTGAGATAGGTACAGGAGAGGGGGCCTCAAGTGGGTAGTCCCCCCCCGCAATAATAATTTAAAAAGCCATAAATAACGAAGTATTTTAGGGGAAATACTTTTTCTGTACTTTCTCCTGTGTGTACGTTTGAATTTAGAATAAATGACACTATCATTGTCTGGCAAACAAGATGTAATTAATGCAGTTAACTTTCCTACGCAGTGTCATTTAAATTGATAATTATAATAGAACAAGCATTACACTAAAACATTCTTGTAGCTGAAAAGTAGCAGTTTTATAAAAGCTTGGAACCACTCAGTGTTTCAAAGTTGTTACCTGGAAAGCAATTAAATTCGCAGATTGTGATTTGTGTTCATATGAATCATAATATATAACACTAGCAACTAATTACTGTGGCTGTCAGCAACATAGTGAATTGTGAAATTTATAGCTCTGTGGCAGGATGTAAACCTTTGTTATTTAGATGGAAAACAATGTACAATAACAAAAATGAATAGCTTATTTACATTACTATACAGAATAAGACTTCAAATAGGATTGTAAAGGAATATTTGGTTTTTAGGATTAATTAGAAGTAAAAATAGTATAATTTTGCATATATTTATGTAAATATAACTCAGAATAATTCAATTAACTTATGAAAATACATAACAGCATATTAAAATGACATAGAAATTTAGTTTAAAGAAAAACTAGAAGTTAGTATGAACCCAAAGATGATGCTAACATTAGAATCCAGTCTCTGACTTAACATAATGTTAAAGAAGAGGGAAACACAATTGATACTGAGTTTAACATTAGTCAATATAACATCAAATATTTTGTGAATAAGTTAGAAGCCATAAAAACATGATACAGAAGGGAAAAAATAGGAAAGTATTAACTCCTGCCTGATTGCTTATGATATACAATAAATCAAACTATAATAAATACGGCAAATCCCACCACAGAAAGCATCATTAAAATAGGTTCTCTTAGGCCTGGCCAGAGTTCCTTGGTTCTATAGCAAGCCTAGACAACCTTAACAAATATGATTGTCGTTGTTATGTTGTTATATAAGCCATCCCACTTCTATTTTTCTCCTCATTTACTTTGTATTTTATTATGGAAAGGTGGCAGAGGACCACAGGAACCTTGAAGATAGGGTGGTGGTGAGGACAGCTGGTGTTTGAAGATAGTGTTGATGATAGTGGTGATGACGTTTTCACTTCATTTTCTAAGTTTGTCAGAACTGCCCAGTGAGGGTCCTTCATATTATAAGATGTATTCTGTTAAGTATCAGGTGTCCCTCAGGAAACTTCATGGGCTAAGCAAAGCATACCTAGCACATCTGGGTTAGTGTTGTTTACAAAGAAGGCAGGCTTTGTAGGTTGCGATGTATCCATTTGCCAAGAAAAAGACTAATGTTGAAGCTTCAACACACAGAATACAAAGCTAAGATGATTACTATCTCATCACCATCCTTTAGCCAACTGACCTGTCTGCTTAAACAATCCCATGACTAAGCAAAATCTCACAATAAAATTATTAAACAATTTTATTTTAGCAGGAGAATTGAGAAAAAGAACTTAAAAATGAAACAGAAAAGAGAAATCAACATTGCTTACCCCTTACTTAGATAACCTTTCTTTGTGCTCTATCCTTACAATCAGGGCTTCTGAGTTGTGTAATCTAGTTAACAAGGTGTTGCTATGACCCTGTGGGAAGGAAATGTGAATTTCCTAATAGTGAGAATATTTGAATCAGACAGATAAACAAATGATAGCAGAAAAAATGGTCATGACGTTTCTATGTAAGCTAGAGTAGGATGGAGCTAGAAAGTAAGGGAGATGTGTAGATATTGGCCAATACATATAAACTTTCAAATAGAGTTTTGGGATCTAATAATCCCAACCTGGTGATGACAGTTGATAATGCTCTAGTGTTTGCTTGAACCTTACTAGAGGTAATGGTGGGTATCAGTGTCAATATTCAATTTCAGTCCAGCATGCTAATAAATATGTGTGGTAAACAATGTGTCAGTTAACTTTAACATAGTAATAAATGCACAATATACACATATATCAAAAAATTATGTTATAATCCCAGAATAAATACAACTTATATTTGTCACTTATACCACAATAAAGCTAGAAAAATTAAACTTTTAATAATATTATAATGCATAAATTTATATTGAAATAATAGAATTTAAACATCACAATGATATATATATATATACATATATATGAATTACGATAGATATACAACTACTTTTTCTTACCTCATTGAGAATAAAAGTTTGTATTAATATTGTGTAGACAAGATATGTCTACATCTTGTCCTTTGAATAACTACTATGAAGACAACAATATGCAAAGTATTAATTATTGTAACTGTCCTACTAACCTGTTTTGAAACTATTTCATTGCTATTTTATCTTTTTTTCTCATTAGAATGAATAAAAAATAAAAAATAAACATCACAATGAAAGAAAATAAGAATTTTCTAAAACAAGAAAGAAAAATAAAATTTGAGGTAAGGGAAACTGAAATTTATAAAGCAACTAGGTCAAAAGTTCAAAGAATAAAAATAACAGCATTGAAGAGTAATCGTAAGAATAAAATGTTACAATATCTGAGAATCTCTCATCACAAATGCAGCAGATTGAATAATAACAAAATCTAAGAACTAGAAAGTAAGAGCAAAATATAGTGCAAAAAACAGTGCAAAGAAGATAAAAATACTTAAAATAATATGAGAAAAGAAACTCGCACATCAGAAAGATAAATGGTAAAATAAAATAACAATACAGGAAAGAAAATAAATAACACAAAATATTCAGAAAATAGTGCCAGGAAAATAAGCAAAAACATTACTAAGAAATAATTTATTGTACATTAAGAAACCTGGAAATAGTAGTCTTTCATGAGCTTTAAAAACATAATGTACACATACAAAAAAAGTAGAAGCATGATGTTAGAAAGACTCAAAAGGCTAGGAGCAGGGGAGATGGCTCAATGGAATAAGGACTTCCCTAGCAAGTGCAAGGGTCTGAGTTTAATATCCGGTTCCGGAAAATAAAAAAAATAAAAAAAAAAAAGACTCAAAAGGATAGATTTCAAATCCATTCCAAAGGAAAAGTCTAGTACATGTGTGTTACTTTCTTATGTATTTATGAGGATTTGCCAAATTAGTGATTAGTCAGAGGAAAGCAACATACTGCTTTGTTTCAAATGAAAGTAAATATGAGAGAATCTAAGACTGAAAAACCAAGAATTTATGCATCATTTATACATAAAAGCAAAGTGAAGAATACTTTTTTATTTTGGAAGTAAATTTTATTTAATTTCATATTTAATGTGAATGTATTGATTGGAAAACTATGAAACACTTTAATTCTGTACTCAAGAATGAAAAGGTTACAAAGGATATGCATTGTGTGTACCTAACTTTTTCTCAACACTAGTATCAGATATTCTCTAATTTCTAAATAACACACTTAGCATTGTATTATTTAGAAATAACCACACTAAAAGTTATACTGACTTGTACATGTATGATAAAATAGTTGTATCATATAAGATGTAGGTAATTCACAAATGGTGGAATAACTCATCATAGAAAAATATGAAATGAGTATATATAGATAAGTTTTGAAATCAAATGTTAATCATTTAAGTATTTATTGTTTTTACAGTGTTTCTGGAAATGGACCAGCCTACAAAGCCCCCAAGATAGCCATAGAAAAGCAAATCCAACAGGGAATTTTCCCAGTTAAGAATGGCAGAAAGATATCTTGCCTGAAGAGTGCTCTTCTCCTTAAGGGAAAGAATATTCCCAGAAGCGCTTCTGACAAACAGCGTTTCACTCTGTCAAACAGACACCAGTTACCTTCAGACAGATGTTGTTTGTTTGGTAATCGGATACCACACACACCTGCAGAACTCAGCACTGCAAATCACAGGACTGGAATTTCATTTTCATTTTCAAAAAAAGTGCATCTTAAACTAGAATCCTCAGCACCAGTTTTCAGGGAGAACACAGAAGAAACCCAAGACTGTAACAAGTCACCTACATATAAAACAAAACCAAGTGTGGAGAAATGTGAATACTGCAGGTTTTCAAAGGGGGAGGTGCACGTCACTAAGCAAGAAGATAGAAGCATTTCACCGCACCCTCTAGAGAGTGTTTTCCACAATACTTTTGCCAGGAGCTCTAATATTTTGAAAGATAAAAATGATTCTATTGATGAGGATTCAATTGGCATTCAGACTTCTTTCTCTAAATCTAACATTCATCTCACAGATGAAGATTTTATTCCTTTCAATAGAGAGAAAGAAACTAAAAATACAATGAAGAACACTTCAGAAAACTGCACTGACCACTCATGCCAAGAAGGTGTCTCCTTCAGCTCAGCAAACATTTATAAGCACAGTGATGCCAGGATATTTGAATGTCTAGATGACTTTTTCTTATCAGAACTGAGTGAACAAAATAATGCAGTACATTTGAATGGCAATTCCAGTATGGAAGACAAAGGAAAATCTTCAAGTGAAAATGAAAAAAATAGCACAAATAATCAAAGAGTTCGAAAAGAAGGGTATTTCCACAATGTGACGTCCAAGCCTTTGTCTTTTCTCCATGTACAAAGCAGGGATGGCCACACTACTCTTCAGTGGCCTACTGAACTTTTGCTCTTCACAAAAACAGAGCCCTGCATTTCTTATGGGTGCAATCCATTATATTTTGATTTTAAACTTTCTCGGAACACAAAGGATCCACATAATCCAGATGATTTAGAAGCAAAATTGGGCAAAGAAACCTTGGAAATGAAGACAAAAATAGACAGTCAAGACTCAGGTTTAGTTAAAGGCCAACAAAAATTTATCCAAGAAGATAATCAATTCCTGAAACCAAAGAGGATTAGAGCTAATACAAATTGGGAAAATTTCCAGAGAAAATACAATTTGAGTTGCAATGATTCAGAACCTAGTAAAAATGACCATAATTTTAGTGCAAGCAATTTGGAATTGAAACTTCCTGAAGTGCCTGCTTACCTTGATATGTCTCTAAAGGACTGTGAGGGAAGGAATAATAATGATACTGATAATGAATTTAAGGAAAGTTCAAGGCCCTATTGGCAAAGCTGTGGAGGACTAGGTCTAAATGATGAAAATGAAGACTTGTCCTTTCCCTCCCACATCTCTAGGACTAAGAAGCATAAGCTAATTTCCTGCAACTCTCATTCAGTGTTTGAAGAGAAAAAACAATTCACCTGGAATTCTAGCCCTTATGTTTTGGGGAGTCACAGCGACCACAGGAAGGACTTTAGTGTAATTTGGAATAGCAATATCAGCATGGCCCATAGTGTTTCTGGCTGTGGAGACCAAAGCTACAAAACAGGTTCTCAGTTAACTCTGAGGGGACATTCCAGCACCTTGGACAAATCCCTGAGCAGTGTGTCCAGTCTGAGAAAGAGTTGTTCAAGTCATAAGTCTACTATTAGCAACAACTGTGATCTCCTCTATATTTGCGAAAGAGAGCACAGCTCTGTGGAGAATCACAAATGGAAGCACAGAAAGCGCACCTGTCTCTGTTTGTCCCGTGAGATGACAAAGAACAGTTCCCTGCAGTCTGAAATGCAGAGAGACAGGAACTGCAAATTGTGGGCATCGTTGAAAAATAAAAAATACTTAAAACACAGATACTGTCACTGCCAAGGACAATATAAGCTGAGTAAAAGTAAATCATTTTCAGGGCTAAAATCTATGAGAATCATCCACTGTGATTCCTGCTCACAGGTTTCCTGTGCTGGAAACAGTGAAAAATCACCTGATTTCCAGAGACCTAAGCACAGCAGATTGGGCTGTTATTCAAGACAGAGGATTTATTACTTAAATAAAAGCAAGCAAAGTCAAGAATCCTTGGTCAGCTGTCATGTTTGTGAGCAGAGGAAAGCTGTGCAGAGGCAGTGTGACTCAGGGACTCTCAGCTATCTTCTGCAGACCTCTTCCACAGAACCTCCCAGAACCACAGAGCCCACAGTTTCAGGAGAAATGAAGAGCCTCCTGACAGCCAAAAGCCTTTTAGAAAGAGTACAAGCAAAGAAGTGTCAGGAGCAACCAACAAATGTTGAAGTATCTTCACCCACTTGTAAAAACAAATCTGAGGATCATTCACAAATCCAGTGCACAAGTCAACTTGTACCACAAAGCTGTAACGAATCAACACTGCTGTTGTCTCAAAAAAACCAACATAGGAGTGAAAGAAAAAATGATAAAGGCAATGCAGTTCAAAGGCTCGCTAAGAAAGATAAACTCAAAAGCTCACAGACTGATATTCGTACTGTTTCAGCAGAAAACGACTCACATAACCAACGTGCTAAAGGCACAATTCATGCAGCCACAGAGTTTTGGTCATTAAACAGAAAAAAGAACCCAAGAACAAAAGAGCAATCAAAACCTATAACTAGTGAGGACCAGGCTTTTCTTCAAAGCCTTGACCCAGTACCAAATGATTTCCCGGGTGCTTTTCTGTCTAATAGATATACTAGTGTAACTGATTCAACAGAGACCAAAGAAGACCAAATAAATCTAGACGTACAGGATGTAAGCATGCATATGAATCATGCAGAGGGGAATGTAAACACTTACTATGACAGAACTGCGCAGAAGCATGACAAAGTGGAAGACGAATTACAAGTGTGTCATAAATCTCTCTCGCCCCCTTTAATTCAACAGCCCATAACATTTTCTCCAGATGAAATAGATAAATATAAGCTTCTGCAGCTACAGGCCCAGCAGCATATGCAGAAACAGCTCCTTTCCAAACATCTTCGAGTGGTGCCTGCCACAGGGCCCACAGCCTTCTCTCCAGCCTCAGCTGTGCAGTCGGTTCCCGTCCACCAGCATGCTTCCATCACTGCCATCCACCACACCTTCCTGCAGCACTTCGCTGTGTCTGCCACCATAAGTTCCCACGGCAGTCCTCTCCCCATTGCTCATCTCCACCCTCTTCCACAGCCACATTTCACTCCGGTTTCATTTTCGACCCTGACCCCCACCCTCATCCCTGCACACCCTACTTTGCTAGCTGGCCATCCTCTGCATTTAGTAGCTACGGCCCCTCTCCCCCCGTCTCATCTAACATTTCAGACCCTGCCTCCATCAGCATTCATCCCCACATTGTTTGGCCCTCACTTAAATACAGCCACAGCTTCTATCATCCACTTGAATCCTTTAATCCAACCAGTGTTCCAAGGTCAAGATCTTTTCCATCATTCTTTCGCCAGCCAGGCACAGCAGTTAAATGGTGTTAAAGAAGCCTTACATGTGGCAACTCACTTGAACTAATGTGTAAAACTCCTCTTGTGGATACAAAAACTGTCACTACCTATGAAATGTTATATTTAAAGTACCTGCTTATCACTAGGTTTAAAAATATTTGTGCCAATTCAAAATGTTACCAATATATAAGTATGAGCTAAATTACCAATATTCAAACAGGAACACTTTATTGCAGGTGGTGGAAATAATAGGCAAATGTAAAATAATTTCATGGAGGGATAGAGGAGAGAGTGTAACAGTATTATTTTTTTCTGATGAGTCTTCACACCGTGTTAACAGTTATCAAAGAAAGATATGCAGGCAGATTTTTTATATTACCAATAAAAATAGAACACCCTATGTTCTTTGGTGTGTTCTGGTGAATAAATAAATGTGGATTTCTTCAGATATTAATAAATGGTTAGTAAAATGAACCCAATACTGGTTAATAAAGTGAATCCAATACTAAAGATAACTCCTATGGCTGTTGGCTGAACTTTCAATGTAGTATATCACTCTATTTGCATTGGAAAAAAGAGATGACAAGAAATCTACTTTTGAATGAAAGTCTTCTGTGAAATATTGGCTGACTTCATTCTAAATAAATTTATGTTGCTATTTTATTGCAAAAGTAACATCTAAAGTTAAGAATGCTTCTATTTGCACAAGATAATATGTAAACTATCATTTGACGATGCCAATAAAAGAAAATAACTCAGAAAATCATCTTACGTAGTCTAACTAAAAATGTTGTTTTCCTCATTTTTCTACTCAGAAAACATGCTGTGTTCTGCCAACATGCAGAAAGGTTGAAGTAAAATGTGTAGAAATATTATGCTTATACACGCTGCTTGAGAAATTTATAAAGGATCTGGTGTGTTTTATTTATTGTCCTGGATGTTCATAAAACACACTGAATGATGTTGAATCCAGTGACCTTTCATGTAATTTTGCACATGCTTTAAAATATTCATTCAAAATATTTTCCAGCCCAGACTATTTGAATTTCTTATATCTACATTTGTGAATAGCCATCCACTCAGGCTTATTTTACATTCTTAAAATGAAAAGGAATAATTCATATAACTGAACATTCTCCATAATCATGGGTTTCAGAGAAAAGCAGACCACATATAAACAAAGTGATCATTCATCTGGTGCTGCCCATGTTTGTGTCAAGAAGATGTGAGGGACATTTTGTCAGCCTTGGCTTCAAGAGAAGGTAGCCACATTTACTGAAGGTGCTGGATTTTTTTATTTTTTTGGTAGTCAGTTTAAGTCCTGGGTTTGCAATATGCTCTTTAATGTTCACAAATACGTTTGCGAAATTATCTTCCTCCTTTTATGAATAAGGACAATTAAGTTGAAAGATAAAAATGCATATTTAATAAACAATGAATAGATACCTTTCATGTAGGAGAAACAGGTGAGACAGGGAAAAATAAAAATAAAGTGAATTGGAAATAGTAACATATAAATACAGCTTCTATCTATCTATCTATCTATCTATCTATCTATCTATCTATCATCTATATATTTTATTTATCCACAATAATTCCAGAGATATGTAGATTGAGAGTTCTGATGAAAATAGAGCAGAGCCAAAGTCTAGCTGACTTGAATAGAAAAAAATTAAAAGAAAATCAAATAACAGGAAACCCTAGGAGTGGAACTTCATAAAAGTGACTAGACAAGCCACTAGTAAACCTTGGGAAAATTTATCTGAAAGCAAAATAACTTAGATATTTACTATAAAAAATAGCTACAAATTGTCCGTAAATAAAAGCAATGTGAAGGATTATTTACCAAAGTCAATCATAAAGCTGACCAATTCAAAATACAGTAAACATGAGAATTCACTGGCAGTCTTATTATGGAAAAGACAGTGTCTTGTATTAATTTTTTACATTTATCTTCTCAGAAAGTTAAAGAGAGAAACTCTCACCACTGAATGTTTATTTTTGACCAGCAAAAATATATTGAGAGGAAGTGATGGCTTAGTACAGACACCTGCAGCTTATACTAACAGTGATGCAAGTGCTCACCAGAGGTTCTATCAGGCAGTAGAGACAACAGACATCATAATTTAAACAAAACATAATAATGTATCTTAGAGTGAGTAATGGTAAGTGTTGGTTCCATCATATGAGAAAAGATATAATTAAACAAATATTTTTACGAAATCAATCATTGTACGAAGGTCTACACACTGGATTTTAGTTTTCATTTTGCTTGAAGAGAAAAATATTCTTAGGAAAAAATTAAGCAAGGAATTCCAAATTGATATTGAATTCTAAAATAGATCCATTTCAAAAGTCACTGCGATGAGCTATAATTTGAATATTATTGCCTAGTAGTTATTTGATGGCTGATTCAGGACATTAAATTTCTTTTCTCGTCTATTGCCTAATACCTAGAGGATCATTCTCTTTGTGAGAATACTCCATCACACTTACTGCATGGATAAAATGTTCATCTGTATCTGATCAATTACAATATTTAATGAAATCTGTAAAATATGCACATATACAGTGGGCATGCATACACACCCCAACACACTCATCTATATATTTTTCTTAGACATTAAAAACCAATCCATATCAAACAGTTTCCCTGGATTTCTAGGAATGCTTCAATAACAAATTCTCTGTATGAAAGAATGAAAATTTAGGAAAGTTCAACTTCTTACTCATCTATGTCAAAATCAGCAATAAAAATAAAATTGGGGTCATAAAAATTATGCTCCAAATATCTTAGGTTCATCTTTATAAATGTCATAAATACAGTAAAATACAGGAAACGGTTAGAATAAAAAGAATGATTTAAAAAATTCCTAATTTCCAGGGCATTTCTCTTAGGGAGACTCCTGGAACAATTACCAAGCTGAATTTTTGTTTCATTTGCAGAAAATGGATTTGACATTGCTTCTTTTTCTTTAGCTTCCATCCAGACCTAACAGAGTTTCTGTTATCACTGAATAGAAATGTATTTTAAGAAACTAATCCTGTAAGTCTCTTTCATTAATGGAATATTTAACTAGTTGGATTGCCTAGGATTGTGCTGCTGGGTCTATGTCTTACTGTCTGAATTCTCATTTTCTTACACAGTTGCCAATGATGGTAGCCACACACCTTGTGAATTTTATAATCATCGAAGCTGATCCAAAATCACATTGTCTCTTAAGCATTTTAAACAGTCATTGGAGATGTACAGGCTGTTCTACCTTTGTAACATCACCTGGTATTCCAGCCTTCTAGGTGTGTGTGAACAGAACATGAAGATACCTTTCCCAAGGGGGTGGATAATGAATGCTCTCAACATAATGGTGAAATAATATCACTCTTTTTATCATTCATTATTTCATGGAATATTTCTCAATATTTCCTTTAAAAATCCTCATGAGTTTTCAGAAGGGTTGTTAAATATTCTGAAGAAAAATGTATGAATATCAGATGGACTTTTCTTTTAAAAAAATCTATTGGAAGGAGCCACAGAGCACACACCATATACACAGCTAATATACTTAGGTTCAGAATTGACCTAGTGTTTGTATCTAGTGCAGCAGAATAAAAACTCATAAAGGTTAAATTTGAGTGTTTAACTTAGATGAACTCTTGAAGATAATTGTGCATGCTCACAGGCCATAAGAAACATTAAAAACAAGAGGGTAACCAGCTCTGTTCAGTAGTAAGGAAAATACATGACCGTTCTCTGTATCTCAGACTGAAGTCACTTCAATGAGATGAGAATTTTTCTAGTAAAATATGAGCTTTCCTGCAAGAAGCCTGGGTCTAGAAGAGTTTCAAAGATTATCATTTCATTTTAGCCAATATATTATCCACTTCTTCTATTAGGAAGACATCTGAGATGATTGTTGTATTCCTTGGGATTAAGCTATATTAAGATGGAAGTAATGCCTGAATGTGTTCAGTTTAGAATAAGCCAGTGCTGGAGAGATAAGATAAGGGTCTTTTCATTCTATGCAGTTTTATACAGGAGTGATAGCTCCACTTTCAAATTCCTTTCTCAAAGTTACTTCTTACTTTTGCAATCCACTACCTTTTTGAACTAACACCAACAAGGATAATGTGTCTAAACCAAAAAGTAGGTCAAGAAAAATAGAAAAATTAAAATATGTGTGGGTGTGAATATGTATGTCTTCTTGATAAATATAATCTTTAGTCTTCAGTTGCAGGTTTTGTACTGTGCTCAAATTAGTGATTTTTTTAAAGTATTTTTCAGAACATACATATTGAAAAAATCACTTTCAGGAAGAAGGTTCTTACCATGCAAAATTGTTAGTTTCTTCAGTGTGTAAGATTATGAATAGCTGATAATGTACATTGAATATGTAGCTACTGACAACAAACTCCCAACTTATTCAATTCTATTTAAAATAACTAATTTATAATTAGACTAAGGGATAGTCTGGCAATGTGACACATTAACCAATATTTTGATTTTATATTCTCTGCTCAAAACATTTTTTATCTTATTCTGTGGCTATGTAATTTGCACTATTGTACATGCAAAAGAACATTTTTAGGTTACTCAATAAATTACTTGGACTGTAGTTCAATGCAATAATATTTTTTTCAATAAGAGCTTACTGGTATAGGAGTGTGAGTCTTGTATTTATTACACAAACATACCAAAATGTAAGAATAAGATCAGATAAAAATGGTGTGAAAATATTCTGTATTTTACACTGCTGGATTAAATGCATTTAACATTTTATTTATTACTGTATATATTTATAATATATATTTAAAACCTGGGATTTCTTAGACTATTTCTTAATATTTGAGTGTTATAAAATAAAACTGTTTCCTCAAACTTAAAATAAATGCATCTTTAAAAATTCTACTGATGAGATCTTTGTTAAAACCTAACACAGTACGTACATACTACACAAAGTACTCTTTCTTTACTGGTTTTCTTTTTGAAAATTGTAATCTACATATTCAAATGCTCTAACACAACTCTACAGTCTCATTATGTATTCTCTAATAATAAAATATAACAAC